ACAAAGGGGTACCCATGAGCAAATCTTACATTCTATTTACAGCCTTCTCTGCCTTACTTACATCCATTATCACCACAAGAAACGAGCCCGGCCGGTGCCAGAGCTAAGCGGCAAGCGTATCAGGTCAGTGCGGACTTTTTGATTCATTTAGAGGTTTCTAGTGGCTCTCGTGGTCGCTGAATTCTCAATTTCTCAACCTTTCAAGAGCTTATTACAGCGTCTACGTTGACGGCGATTCGTCTGTAAGCCTCGACAAGACTGGACAAACTGAATCCGGGCCCTGGGGACCGTGGGTGCCAGAGCAGTGTTCGCGAACGTGTGGAGGCTGGTGTTCAAACCGAGAAGCGACAATGCCCGTAAGCATTTCTGTGTGATTTATTTATCCAACGGCACAGAAAAAGCGTTCACTTAAACAAACAAATAAATATTGGTCAATAAATTCATTTCTTGTAGGGGCGATGCGGTAATGACCTCTTACGCTTTTTCCCAGACTTCATAACATCGTTTACACTGCCTAGTGCCTCTGACGAACATCATCGTGATTGTTCCAGGAAGTGGAGTTTTCGAAGTTTTTAGGAAGGCAGACATTGCGTTGAATAGAGAGGTCTAGGCACCGATCAGAAACTTTGTCCCCCCCCCCCCCCCCCGAAGCGCTTCTGGCTATGAGTGTCCATCTTTTTGTGATTTTACGGTAGCCATCCTGTTTGATCAAAATTTAACGGAAATGGCGCTTCCCGTCTCTCCTTTGAGACGGGCCTGCGAGAGAGCGTATGTCCGTCCTCTCCCCACTTAGTACTCTGTCGCAGGTCCGTCCTCTCTTTAAGGCTTAGTCCTGAGGTAAGCATCAAATTGAGGCGGTTTTAAGGACCGAGTTGAAGTAGTCCGTCGACCGTCGGGGACCCCATCCCCTCCCCAACATTCAGCATACGGCCCCAGCAGAAACGCCAAAAGGGCTGGTTTGCTTACTTCAATGACATTATGATTTTCAAAAAAGCGCCGTATTTGTGGCTCCTTAGAGCTGGGTAGCTCGTTTACTGTTCAATACTCTCTAAATGCAACTGCATTCCGAGTGATCCAATATTGAACGGAGCTTGAACACATGACGCATTCCGACAGCTACTCTAATCAGAATTTCGAGGGGTCGTCTTGCAGATCTTAAGAAGTTGACCAGAGCAATGTAGCAGTGTGGATGCCTTAGCCGAAGTCGTTTCATCACGAAAAAAAAACCCGAGCCCTTAATTTGTTATCGTCCGAACAACTACCTAGGAGGGAGGGGGGAGGGGTGGCCAAAAAAGCGACACTTATTTCCCTCGACTTTTAACGCTGAAGTCATCGAACTTTATTGAATTCTAACTGGTATTTTCACCTTCAGGACAACAAGACATTGTATTCGACCACGAAACTCTTCAGTAGCCTTCTTGAGAGAATCGGAACGAAAACCGCATTTCGCTAAGAAATCTCAGTCTGCTTCTCCTTTTTGACCTATAACCACAGGAATAATTCCATGCGGAGTGTCTCTTGGCCACCTCTGCCTAGCATATTTGCAACAATTCTAAAAACTCAGGCCAAGGGAAGAGACTAGGATATGTCCAGTGCGGTGAAAACTTTAAAATTGGTATTTTAACCCATTCGCGACCGCGCGGATTGCGCAATAGCAGGAGTCAGGAGATTTTTCTTCAATAAAATTTGAGTGGATGGAGATTTCCCCTGCCCAGGGCTGGGTATGAAGATTCTTTTCAGGAAGAAAACTTTCCAAATTCCATTTGAAACTCGGCAAGCCGCCGGTTCCATACAATACCACGGTCCCGAGTGAGGTCTTTGGCAGTCACCGGTGGCTGCCATTGTCACGAATGGGTTAATTGATGGATGGAGTGAGATGGTGTGCATTGCAGTCTGAGTACTCAGGCTCAGCACACTAATGCTATTTCAACACGATCCACGCATGAAAAAATTTGCGAGTTCGCTTGCATTCATTTGTTTGAGAAAAGATTTTGGAAACTTGTTCAAATGTTGGTGATCGCCTTTTCTTGAGAGAGTTAAGTCGGCCGGGAAACCTGTATAGTTCTTTCTTTGACTCAGATCAGATCGATGATTTTTTGCGGTGTTTCGATTGATGATCTTAGCGAATTCGGTGGAGCTGTTGTTATACGGGGCTTGCGAGTTTGTGCGAATTGTAAACATCACTGCTGGTGTTTATGGACAATGATGAGTGGCTATATCGTTGAGCGATCAACAACATTTGCAGATGGATGCACATCTGTTAAAGATGCTAACCTCAATCGAAAGACCGTCACAAATAACACAAAGCCAACTCACAAACAAAGCCATTCAGGCCATCTGAAAATAAACAATTCGGTGCACAGATGACACCGTAACCTTCGAAAAAATTATCTACTGCTAGAAATTTTCCAGGGGTGACTGCACGGGGCCGTCGGTTCGGTACGTTTCGTGCAACTTGGATCCATGTCCAGAAGGCACCGACTTCCGAGCGGAACAATGCGCGGCTCACAACGACGACCCAATCGACGGACAATACCACAAGTGGATACCGTATAAGGGCAAAAACAAGTGAGTCTTTCGGAACAATACACCTGAGTCCTTCACCCACTGCTTTCGTGAGTCTTTGCTGACGGTCGTAGGAGATCTTCTAGGGGTTACCGTTATGTCATACTTATCGGATTATGACGTCATCCTCTTCGTAGTGTAGTTACCGGGAGTGGTCTTGTCAGATGTCTGGTGCCCTTCTGGTGTCAGCGTCTGGCGGACGGATCACCGGCACAGTGTCAAATACTTGCCTCAATTCTAGATTAGATACGGTCCCTATTGTATACTGCAACTATGATTTGTCAGTCCAGGAACTAGGTGTAAGAAACTGAAACGCGGATTATTTCAGGTGCGAGCTTTTGTGTAAACCCGAAAACGCCAATTTCTACTATAAATGGGATGACACCGTCATTGACGGAACCAAATGCGATTCAAAAGGCGAAGATATCTGTGTCGACGGTGTCTGCTTGCCTCTTGGATGCGATGGAAAACTTGGATCAGGTACGGTTCTTGTTAAGCGAAAAAGCCTTAGGCGTTCGGCGTCGACTAATCCCTTCTAGGGATGCGCCACGCATGCTGCTTTCATTCAGAATTGTGGATGTTTTGAATGCGATCCAGCATGTAATGACTTATGGGTTAGCCTTTTTTCCTATCAGACAAGTCTGGTACCAATGCCTATTAGAAAGGATGGAGCGCTTGATTGGCTTAGGCGGCTCACTGTCCAGGAATGATCCCCGAACCGTGTGCGTGGTAAACCGAGCACTTGCCACTGCACCACTTATTGCCCATATCTTTAAGTTGTTACGAGAAATTAGACACAACTACATAGTTTATGCTGCGCGCTGTCTGGTACTTTGTCTGGTACTTTCTACACATTCACTTTAGATAGTTGGGTAGAGATCAAGTATACTAGTCGTTCTTGTAACAGTTATATGCATGTCAAAAAGAGCCGTAACAAAAAATTGCTAAAAATAATTACGACTATATATGGAGGTGACAGTGGCACGCTAAGAGGGTAACGCAAGTCCGGAAAAACCAAATCGTGCAAATCCGCGTGGCAAGCTACCAAACCCTCTCGGAGTTAATTCATTTGCAACAGAACTGATCTGCTAGGATAAACACACCCCCCGTTCAGCTGTCCTCTGAAGTCGTTGTCTAGGCCTAATTATACTTAAAATGCTTCTTCCCTGACTGGATCTAGAATGCGCGGCGCATCCCAAAGAGGGACTGATCGACGCGGGGAGCTTTGTCCTCTTCAACCTTTTCGAATAAGGGTGTGATGCACTACAATTTTTGATTATTTGTTACATATTTTGTTACATGATATTAGCTCTGAACTTTAGCTCTGAAACTGGACAAATGCGGTGTGTGTGATGGGGACGGCTCCAAATGCAAAGACAATCGAAGGGTCTTTCGATGAGCGAATCTCTCGCCTGGATACCACGATGTCAGCGCCCGGATATCACGATGTCATGCGAATTCCGGTAGGAGCCACAGCCATCAGAATAGAAGAGGCCCGCCCAAGCTCGAACAACCTAGGTTTGTTCCATTTATGAGTTTTTAATCAGAGAACCAAAAAATCATCAGTATCACGTGAAACTTATTTTCTCGAAAATGTAAAAAGCGTTTCAGCTATGAAGAACTCGTCGGACCACTATTTCTTGAACGGGAACTCTATGATTCAAGTGGAAAGGGATGTCGAACTAAACGGTGTCCATTTCGAATACGATGACGGAAAACCGGAGAAAATCACTGCGAAGGGACCGCTGGAGGAGGTGAGCTATTCTCCCCAGAGCAAGAGTACTTCTTCATTGAAGCCCGTTGAAGCCAATTTTTTACGAAAATATTGCATTTCCCTGCTGATTTTAACTGACACTCCTTGTTGTGCAACTATAAAAGGGAGCCACTAGTGAATAGGCCAGTTGACTATAGGCAAAAATCAACAGTTCCTTTTCAGGAAGTCGTCGTGTCTGTGCTGATCCGTAAAGGAAACAGAGACGTGTCGGTCAAGTACGAGTTTTCCGTCCCAATTGTTGATGAGGTTGACTACATGTACAAGCCTGGAGAATGGTCGGCATGTTCTGTCACTTGTGGAAAAGGTACATTTTTATGGTAACAATAAAAAAAGTACGTAGAGATTCGAGCAGTCAACAGACTTCATGTGAACGGTATGGTCGTTCTTGTCGATTTGTGCAGTGAATTTATGACGGCAAGAAATAACCATTCTTAATCCAGCATGATGGACATCTTGGTTCGAGTATTGAGGCATTTTCCGAGCGATAGATTTCCTGTTATGCGCGCGTTTACGCTCGAGTGGGTCAACCGTTTGTTCTGGAACCCGGACGGGGAGGGGTCGTATTTGCAATTCTTGAATAGGGAGTCGCATTTTAGGTTTGAAGGTGGGCTTTACGATAAGAAGGCAGTCCACTAGAATTGAGGTAGAATTGATCAGTGGTGCCGGGATGAAGAAAAACCATGAGAAACGGCCCAGAACCCGAGAAATGGGACCCCTTCCTTGCCCGTTGATTTGATGCGACTCTCATCGTGCTGCCCTCTTCAACGCTAACGCTCTCTCTGCTAAACGGCTAGAGACCTGCGGCGAGTGGTTAGCCAGTCGGTGGGCGTGCCGCGCCGATAGCGCGCGAAAGGTCATGCTAGGTCGTCCTGGGCATATCCTTCGCTTCGCTGTGAATCGCCACTACGTAAGTTTCTCCTACTTCGACCTTCAACCGTATCGTGGAATCTTTCGTAATGAGGGCGTGATGGAGGGGTCGTTGGTGAAAGATTAGGGGCGTGTTTGTAGTTAAAAGGGAGAGACCTGTGACGATAAGGTGTTTTAGAAACCGGGAAGAAATTTCAACAAAAAAATTTTCAAAAGAAACAACAATTTTCAGGTCAACAAACAAGGACACCGTATTGCATTGAAACAAAGACGCAAGCTCGAGTTGATGATCAACTTTGCGATGATGCCAACTCAACGAAACCAGAGGTCTGCAGAACACTCTTCACATCATCTGTTAAAGTCACTAAGATATGGTCTTATAAAAGAACACATGAGTAAAAGAAAAGGAGCAAAATATTTCGTTGGTTTTGACAATAAGCACTGGCTCAGTGTGGCTCCAGGGGGAGGGCAGCCTGTAACATTGCGTCACATTCACAACAACTTCCAGTTTTGGTACTAAGCTTGAGGAAAAGAGGAAACCGAGCTGCGTAGCTCCAGTTGCTTTCGATAAAAGAAACGGCCTTCCCCCCTCACCCACGACCACATTGCGCCTCGCCTAAGCAACTGAGTAGATGTCAGAGATTTGAATTGCCGCCGCCAAACTATCACAAATTTCGGAGTTGAGAGACTAGCACACATGAACGTTCTGAAGGCTTGCACATGGCCGCGCCCAAGACGTTTTCGTTGTCGCTTTCACTACGTGTCCACTGCAGTTCTACACACCACAAGTGACCGACAAGTCCCACAAAAATGTAATAGTTTTTCCGCGATGATAATGGTACAAAATGATATGAATACGCGCTGCATTGTATTCTATCAGTTGTCTCGCACAAAGACCATTAATTAAATAACATCTATCACTATAAATTAGCAGTTATCAGATTTACTTGAATACCGTCGTCACTTGGTGTGTATTTGTGGTGGCAGAATTTTCTTGGCCGCCGGATGGCAAGTGACTTCACACTCATTCAAGTCCTTTTTTGACCTCGTCAATTCTATCAGGAGCCATCCCGGTGAGATGGGCGTGTCTTATGCGATATTTCTCTCTGGACATTGTCGTATACATATATGTAATGCGCCGATCTTCGCCTGTTTGCGTCACAGTGGCCACATTAGCACACACTTATATCGAAGCGGAAGACAAGAAACGTTCTAAGCACGATGTCTTCGATTGCACCAAGACAATAATTGGTGATGGCTCCAGCTTGTCATTATAAAAATTATTTCATTTCAGTTCGAGAAGCCATGCGAAACTGTAGACTGCGAAGCTGAATGGTTCGAAGGCGAGTGGGAACCGTGTTCTCAAACTTGCGGTGATAAGGGCGAGCAGTATCGCGTAGTGTACTGCCATCAGGTAAGGCTGGAATTATTTGCCTCTGCAATCGAATTTAGAAGAAAATCTGAACTATTGGCAAACGAAATTTGGGGGAGGAGGTGTGAGCTTTAGGTGCGAACCCCACGCGACGCCCTGGTGCCCCTCTCTTGAGGCCACAAACTCGTAGTCAGAAATGGCTGATTTGTAGCAAAGTTCCTTGTCGGCTTTGAGAGCTTCTTGCAAGCTCCATCGGTTGAGCCGCGTGGGAGATTTCCGCGTTTATCAACAGTACACCTTACTGAGGTCATCATTTGACTGCTACCTGAAAAACTATGTGGTAGAAGATTCGAGCACCTCCGCCCAGTTCACATTGCGTGGGGTGCATCGTTGCACTCAAAGTTGATCAAAAGAAAACCTTCAGTTGGTGAGGTTTTCATTCCTGAGATGTGCCACGGCACGTTCTCAAAATTTATTGCGGTAAGTTCATCGCTGCCCGCTTCCGATGGCCATCCATTAAGCTCAGTCTTTGTGAACGAGTCGAGAAGCAAGTCATGTTGGCACTTTGGGGCTTCTGAGAATATGCTGGGGGAGGATGCAATCTTACTTTATTTCTGCGTGAACAGATCAGACCTGTAGTAATATAGGCGTAGTACCCAGATAGCTTAAAGGCACAGTACAATGGATTTGATGAATCAATCCCTTTGGTGGGTAATATAGAGCTCCACTGGAGTCGTAGGTGTTTCGCTTTTCTAGTTTGGAAGAATTCCATTCTATGAGCGTTGGTCCGCCTCCATCTTCGCTCATGCGCAACATGCGGGTATCTGCGCCCTCTCTTCCATTGTAGTATCTCGCCTATCCTCTCTCCACCGCGCTTAGTCTCTCCCAGTCTTAACACAGCGCCCATTCTAAAAATGAGTAAACCCTTTTCTCTGACACTTTCGATGGATTTTTTTCCTTTTTTCGTTACTGATGGTCCACTTCGCACCCCTGCCCCATTTTCGAGTGCAGGGATCACACCTGCTGAATTGAGGAGTGTACATTTGAATGTCTTCACCTGGTGTTAAGCCTCAATACAGCAGCTCATTAGCTGCAAGTATCCAGATTATCTCAGAGATCTTCTCATCTGCGCTTGGGATTTGTGGGATGCTATGTTTGAGGATCGTCGTCGACAAAGAGAAATTTCGGGATCTGTAAGGATCGCCCAGCGATTTGGTCACAGCTCATCCTTCTGGTGCCACGCACCCTCACATCGCATCGGCCATTCGACGTCTATTTTTTATCGAAGTAAACTGGAAACGTTCCCTTCCCATCCGTACTCCTTCAAAATCGCATTTTCCAATTCCCGATCGTTCCGCTTCCTTGAAAACACCACGCGCTGGAAACCAGTTATTTCTTTGAACTCGAAACCACTCTTGATTTGGACTCCAATTCCAGTACGCAAATTACGGTTCCACGAGTTCATAAGCCCTTTCTAAATGATGGGCCTCTGCAATGGGGACAGGCGATAATTACACCAATTGGCATCTATTTTTTATCCATGGAGGTTCTAAAAAGGTTGATGGCAGTAATCACGATGGCTCAAGGGCGGTGCGGTTTTGATGACGTCATTGATGGGTTATACTCCTCAGCGCGCCGAGCATGTCGTTGAGACCGCCTCTTTACGACTTTCCACCAATGACATTGAGTGACGTCATCAAAACCGGAACGCCCTCCAATCACCGTAATCACCGCCTTCGGGACTGTAAATATTGCATTCTATCAATCTTATTTATTTTACGGAAGAATTTTATTCTACACAGATCTTCGCGAATGGCCGACGAATCACCGTCGAGGACGGAAACTGTACTTCCGAGCGACCAGCGGTGCGACAAGTGTGCAATAGGTAAGCAGTTATGTATCAGTAATGAGCGACGGAATTCATCTTCTTATTAGCGAAAGGGGGAAGAGAAGCCTAATCAAAATCCAACAACGTATTGCAGTGAGGGGCAGATGACCAGGTGTTTATCAAAATTACGTTCTCACTTGACTTCCCCTCCTCCACAACCTCTGCCCACTTTTTTTCAAGGGTGGCAAAGGAGGGATAAGCCAAGCGAGAAATTGATTTTATTGCGGCACGCCCGTTTCGGTGAAGAAGCCGCTTTGAGAAAGCATTCCTACCATGTTCTGACTCCCACTTGGCCGATGTCAGACTTTGCGAATTCGCTGCAAAGCCGATTACCCGCTAGGCGTCCGCCGTCGCAGCGCCAAGCCAGAGCAATCACCGGCCGCGCGCGACCGCTGACGGCTGAAGAATCGCTCGTTCGGCAAAGTGTGACATCGGCCATTGCGAGGTAGCAGTCAGACCTCGCGATTCCCATCCGTGTTGCAACGCAAGTCACGTGGCCAGGAAAGTTGCTTTCGTTCTTTGAGCCAGTGCGGCACTTGCACACGGTGAGGACGGTGCACAAAGTGAGGAAAGCGCGAAGGGCGTCAATGTAGGATGTTGGCGCATGGTTGGAGACGCTGGAGTTTAGTTTATGAGGCCCCCGATTGCGTGTCTGTCGACTACCTGAACTTGGTCTTTTAAATAAGTTGATGTGCTGCCCTCGTCTGCGCCCTCTCACCTGAATAGCGGTTCACAAGTATAGCGACCCTCGGGTCTACATTCAGTAGGGAGGGGCATCGCGATGCAGTTTTTCCAGAACGCTAAGGTAACTCCGAGCCAGGGGGAGTGTAGCCAGTCTAGGGGGTGGGGGTGAGGGCAGTCACTTGACATGCGTGAAGAGCTGGAATGTTCGAGTTCAGAGAAACTGCATCATGATGCCCACCTAACTGGAATAGATCCGCGACCTCTCATGTTCAAACTTTCACAACATGAAAAGGCGGCTCACGCACCCTACACCCTTAAATTTCCCTCATTCCCTGTGGCTCACATATTTCCCATTTAGCACCGTTAAAAGCTGCAGTAGACGCCTTATGTGGTAGCCTGGTTCTCCAATCGCCTGTGCTCCAGCCACTCGCCAGTAGGACCGTCGGGGAAAGTCCAAGTAGTCCGTGAACCGACTGCGCGCTAGAAATCATGCGCCAGCATTGTACACTGGGGCTTTTTGCGCTCCCCGCATTATCCGTACCGCTTTCGGTGCAATACAAGTGGGATGGGCACGCCTTATCTTTTGATACGGTAGGCGCGAAATACATGTAAGTGGGGACTGCTGCCCGCTACTATGGTGTCACGAGAATCGGGAATTCGTGAGCCAGGGGGAGTGTAGCCAATCTAGGTGGGTGGGGGTGAGGGCAGTCACTTGACATGCGTGAAGAAGCTGGAATGTGTGAGTTCCTTCATAGCGTCTCGTCACGTCATTTCAGTGGGCACCAGTGCCTACGTACCCTCCCTTTCAAAAAGCGAGAAAGTGTCGGGTGCAGACCATACACCACAAGTGACGACGGCCTCCACAAAATGTAAATGTTTTCTGCCAATGAAATGATTAGCCTGTTGCAGTTGTATTCTATCAGTTGTCACTAATTACAACTATCATTTACCAAAAATCAGCTATCACTATGAACCACTACTAACCAGATTTACTTGGAGGCCGTCGTCACTGTGGTGTATGGTCTGCACCCGACACTTTCTCGCTTTTGAAGGGGAGGCTACACACATTTCGCGCCTACCGTATTCAAAAATGCGGCGTGCCCTACGGTCTCAGGACATCTGTCAACCGTGAGCCTTGGCGGTTCAGCGTTTTGTAGTGATGTCTGGGAGCTCTCACAAGTGCACACTATCACAGCATCTCCTCTTTCTTTATCTTCCTTCAAAAGGCTTAGTCCCAATAAGACACAAAGTGTGTGCTTTTCCAGCTCCGCTCTCACCCTTTGGTTGACAGAAGCCTTGTAACCTGCCCATACCACTTGTATTAAACCTCGTGGCTTGTATTTTCCACAAATGTTTTGTGTAGTTTGGGTACCCACCCTGTTCATTCTCTTCTTCATTATCTCCAAACGTGCCAGAACATTTTCTTCGGCAACTCCCCTTTTTGAGCGTGCATTTCGTAGACGAGTCATAACTATATTACTGTGATGGAGCTGTTCATCGGAGCAGAGGTTACAATAAAAATACAGTATTTCTCAATATTCAATAGCTGCATACGCACAAGCCCCACTGAGTTGGCAAAACTCCCAAATAGTCCTGAACATCAGTCACTAGTAAAGCTGCTTTTTTTCAGGTTTGCCTGTCCTGAATGGCAAGCAGGGCCATGGTCGGCTTGTTCTGAAAAGTGTGGAGATGCATTCCAATATCGTTCGGTCACGTGTCGATCAGAGAAAGGGCGAAGAAGGCAAACTGCTGCCGCTGATGTAAGTGATACTCTATTTGTTGGGTAAGAAAGGTTGGGTAAGAAGTGAGCAGAGCAGCAATTACAAATTTCTCAAATTTGTGACAAGCCATGTCTCGATTCTTTTTTGGTGGTGCTCAGAGTAAACGCATTTGCAGAAATGTATATAGAACTTGAACCTTTCAAGCAAAATGGTAGCTTTATGATTTTCTGCTGCTTGTCATAGATTACGGTTCACTGTTTTTGCCATTTGATGGTCTTTTTTTGAAAATGATGATCTTCCTCTCTAGTACATGACTTTTAAGGCATGCAGTTCCGAAAACACCTTTGGAATCTCAACGAAGTTGCAATCTTGACATGACAGGCGCCTTAAATTCTTCTACGACGCGACTGGAAACTGGTCAGTAGCAACTCTAATTTCTTCTAAATTAGAAGGACTTAGCTTGAAGCTACGTCCTTTTGTTCAGGAGGAAATAAATCACTTCATCTATTGTATTAGATGATTGATTTCAGTGCTCAAAGTGCAATGATACTGAGGAGACACGTGAGGTGACCTGCAAAGACACCCAAGGGCGTGCGTATCCTCTGGAGAAGTGTCTGACAGATGATGAGAAGGAGATACCACCAGACACCAGGTCAGACTAAATTAAAAGTTCCCGCTTCCTTTTCGGTTACTAAAAAAATGCGTTTAACCTTAAGAAAGTTAACGAGCCCGAAACTTCTTTTCGGCACAGGGAAAAAAGTCCGTTGTAGTGAAGATCGCAAAAAAAGCTGTCTGATTCAGAAGAAAATTAATGAAATACACTGAAAACGATGACTAATGACAGCTATCTTCAGAGCTTGTGCCACCCAACAGCCCTGCAATTACGAGTGGACGGCTAGTCAGTGGTCGAAGTGTTCCACAGAATGCGGTCATGGACACAAAACGAGACGAGTGATCTGTGCGATTCACGAAGAAGGCGACGTGACGGTATAAATTTCGATATTTTTCAATCTAACCTACCGAATAATATTTCATTGGGAGCTAAGAATATTGATTGAAATTTAGGTGGTCGACGAAGCATTGTGTCAAGGTGAAAAGCCTGAAGGGAAAGACCAACTGTACCAATGAAGAGAAGGTCGGACACATGGTACAGTAGTTCCGTGTCACCGTGTAGTTGTGCGAGTGATTTCATTTTTGGCATATCTTCATATTAATAAGAGCATAGTAACCATCTCTCGACACTTTCGTTCAATCAAGATCTCGTTTGCAAACATTTTTTGCATTGAAAGGAACAAGATGCTCATAACTGCTGAGAAAGCTCTGCGTGAGCGTGAGTAGGAGGCATCTACAAAGCAGTGAGGTAGTAATCATCACACTCGGAATTCGAAGCTGAGCGTAATTGTCTTATCTGTGAGTGTTTGGTTTCGCACCTACCCTTCCACTTTCGTAAGCTCTAACCTTTTCATATATGAGTGTTGCGGCTTCTTGACAGATATCCGTTATCTTTTTCGGTTATTTGAGAGCCCCAACCACTTTTGGCTACTGAAAAACCAATGCTGGGCTTGCTTGTTTCGAGCACAAGTTTTTTTTGAATTAGTGTGCAGACAGGAATTAGTGTAGATGACGAACAGTGCGTAAAGACCCTAAACCGTGAATCTTCCTTATAAGGTCAGATTGTCTGTTACTGCAGCTAACAAAGGGACATGTTTTCACTCAGTGTTTTGTAACTCTGAACGCTGTCTTCAAGTCCTGCCTTTCCACATCTTGACGTTGGCCTTGCTTACCCGAAACGAGGGTTTTTAATACCGAAAATTAGATAGGTAAGAAAATGATGAGAAATGCTTTAGGTGCGGAGGAGGGACTCAAGAACGTGTAGCAGTCTGCCTCAAATTATGACAAAAAGCCGGTTCCGGAGTGGTGTGATGAAGCCGAAATGCCTACCCTAAACCAGGAGTGCAACACCGATGAATGCCCATGTGAGTGTAGCACCGAAATAGGTTTTTGATTCTTTTTAAACTAGAAGGAAACTATGTAACTGCTGCTATATTCTGATTCAAAGTTTTGCTAAAATTTGAGTTAAGTAAATAACTCGCATGTTCCTCTCTGTAACTTATATATAGACAGAGGTGAATCGTCTAAATTTCCATTTACTCGTACGGTTGACTGACATATGTTATTGAACAAGTATTTATTATTTATTTATTTATTTATTTGAACTACACTCAAAGGTGCGCACAATAAAAACACGGAACACGTATGAAAGGCAGTGAAGTTTAATCAGCTACACTTGGGACCACATTTACACTAAGAAAGCCGGATAAATATATTGGATGTATTGGATTTCCTAGATGAGGTGGCGAAGAATCAGTATAGTAGGATCCACGTCATAATTAGGGCAGCAGGATACATATACATATATTTTTGTTCGCGAGGGATCAATGAGAAACTTCACTATCAAAACATGAATCATAACAGAGTCAACTACCAAGTAAGATAACCAAGCCTGGAACCGCAGCATGTAGGGCGGATGCAGGTTGCATCTCATTAACCTAAACACAGACCCTACCGCTGGCCCAGTGGTGCTTACCTGGTAGTTGACTGTGTTTATATGTATACACATATGTTTTGTTTCTGTGCCGTGTGTTGTTAAGTCAAAAAAGCTTGTGAAGGAACATATAATACCGAGACTCGAGAATAACTTGCCGCTGGGACGAAAAAGGGACTAGATAGGTGCACCAAATCGCACCACCTCATAGGATTGTCACGACCGTACTTTTCAATAGTTATGTAGAAATAAATTGGTAGATTGATGAAGCATCAATGTTGGGCCCAAGTGTAGCTAACACATATCAAACGAAAACATCAGAAAACATATACTGAGAAATGAAGCTGTGTAAAGAATTGGACGGAAAATTCCATCTGAAAGCACCTTTTCGCACTAGTTAATGGGAAGTTATCCATCCACCTGCTTGACAGGTTCGCGGCTGCCTTACAACAGTAGCTCGTCTGGACCCGACTCTCACTGTACTGACTGGTTTTAGAAAAGAAAGAAAAAATTGCTTGCGCAATGTTAATGTTCCTTGTTGCAAGGTGAATGAAGTTACGAGTCAAAATGCTCGACTAATTCAGACTTCGCTTACATTTATCCGTTGCGATACGATTATATAAATAAATATGGGGAACTTCAATTGATCTTGGAGCTTTTCTATAAGCATTGCGACCAACATCAAAATTACTACCAGTTTTTCAGCATGCTTCGATTCCGAATTCGGATGCTGTCCTGATAATTCCACCTTCGCCACCGGAGATTTCAATCAGGTACGATCCGAGGGATCAAGAGTGATGAGTAGATAGCGCGGTCTTGAAGAAATTGGTCTACTATACTTCTGGCAGCACTGGCTACACCTTTGTCGTCACGAATTTCGCCTAGGCCACTCGGAAACTGGCAGAACCTGCCTATTTCTTTGATACAAAATTCTTGATCCTTTTAGGGATGTTCGAACTGCAGTCTCAGCGAATTCGGATGCTGTGCCGACAACTACACTGAAGCCACAGGTAAGGGCGGAAGAGGATGCGAAGAGTTCGTTGAGTCGCCCTTGAACCTCGAGGAAGCCGGAGAAGGATCTGGAGAAGAGGTAAAGTCATGTGCAGAAATCTTCCGTAATCACCATGAGGTTACGGTGGGAGAGACATCACTTCACGCATCCATGGTAGCGGATTCCATTTTTTTAAATGCTGATGTTTGCGGTGGTAACTTGCGGAAAAGGGGCCGTGTCATGATTACTGATTCTATTTCAAAATGTTTTCATTAAAAAAGAATGCGGGACGCACTTGGCAGGCGGTAAGCTTAAGTGCATTGCTGCTGCGGTTCATGGCTTATTAGAAGCAATAGTAGAATAAATCAATGTGTGGTTTTTTCAAGTTAAATCTGCACCGCTGAAGAGAACACACTCTGAAACATCGTTTCCAGAAAAGCGGCGAATGTCAGGTGAAGAGCGAGAATGGCGAAACGGCAACGGTGGACTGTGCTGCAGCAAATGCTACTACGACAGACTTCGACGGCCTTTTCGGTAAGATCGCGGGTGGCGAGTTTCAGCAAAGGCAGTAGAGCCAGGGTCAACCGTATTTTTGGTAGACCGAATGTGGGGTTGTTTTGTACCGGAGGGGTCGTTTCTTGGGAATTTAGCTGGTGAGCACAATTGATGTTTACAATCTATCCAAGTTTTACCACAGCGTTCGTACCTTTAGAATTCAACTTCTTTAAAGGCTATCATATTATAAAAGAGCGTGTTTATTGATAGTAAATAGCGTACAATGAAACGGCACAAGGATTGCATCGAAATCAGATTGTGGTTCCTATGGTCACTTTCCTGCCGAAGGACCGAGTAATGCCGGATGTCCAGAATTCGTACTCGGTAAACTGCTAGAACCATGAATCTTATTCTTCTTACATGACGTTGCTAGAGATTCAGCTGTGCTTCTGTTAGCACTCGTTGAAAAAATTAGCCTTGTCCGCTTTATAAAAATGGGACAATTTTTGGATAGAATAATCTTATGAAGTCAATAAAACCTTTAAAGGATCGTGCAACGAAACAGAGTACGGTTGCTGTCATGATGGCGTTACGTTGGCACGCGGACCAAATCTTGAAGGATGTGGTGAACCAACGTGCGCTGGTTCACTGTACGGATGTTGTAAGGATCGTAAGACCATCGCGTTTGGGCCTCACTACGCTGGATGTGAAAGGTTTCGTTGTGGTACACATACATGTAACATTGTAACATGCAGTTGCGTACGATTAAAACGGCCTGTTAAAAGGGAAATTTCCCACAAAATGGTCATTCGATCTCCAATGTTTCTAGACCATTATCGCCGTAAAGCATTCAACACCCTCATTTCTTCTTTACACAGACCGTCAACAATTCCCTGATTCAGGCTCCATAACAAGAATTAAAATTACACAGTCCTTCTCTAGGTCCTCATTCCCTTGCGAACTGTCTGAACATGGATGTTGCGCAGATGGTGAAACGGCTGCACTTGGAGCAAATGGCACCGGATGTGGAGAGAACTGTCTGACGACGAAGTGAGTTTCGGAAGAATTGTTACATATTCGCAAGTGTCAGCGAAACTATCCATTGATTCAGGTACGGCTGCTGCCCAGATGGTAAGGGTACTGCAAAAGGACACCATAATGAAGGATGTGGATGCGTATATGCGCAGTATGGATGTTGTCCTGATGGAAAAACCTCTGCGAAGGGAGCTGGATTTTACGGATGTCCTGACAGCTGTGCACAGAGTGAGTCCTGCAAGTTGATTGACCTCTGAAAAGCCCTTCATATTCGATATTCAGGTCAATTTGGTTGCTGTCCTGATGGTAAGACGCCTGCTCGAGGGTCCCATAAGGAAGGCTGCCCGTGTCAATACACTCGATATGGATGCTGCCCGGACGGAGAAACAACAGCTCTCGGACCAAGAAATGATGGCTGCGATGACTGTAGATATGCTAAGTAAGTTATTGTTTGGAATTCTCCGGAGCGCATCATTCTGCCTCACATTCTAAAGTTCGTTATGTTGCACAGTTACCTGGACTTACAGTTTTATCCCAATTAGGTGCCTAAAACTGTGCCGCTCTGAAATCAATCAAGAGATCTTCACGATGTAGTAAGCCAGCTAATCATGGACAGTCTTTTTCCATTACGTTTAGCTAGAGCAAAGAAATTACCCAAGCACTTTCTATTCCGTGTGGGTCTGGTCCTATCTAAGACTTCACAAAAAGCATGATATTTGAGCGAGGATTTGATCATTCAAGGCCCTTTTCAATGTGCTATGTAAGATCGTAACAGAACTTTTTACTGCGTTTGATTAGATTTTACTGCGTCTCGTTTCCAAGTATATTTTGAACCTATCTAGCAGCTTAGCTGCTCGCACTGATTCTGCCAATAAGTCACGTCTGGCACAGCGGTGCCTGCACGTGTACGTGTACGTGTACCGTCCAGCAGGATCCGTTGTGGTACTCTCACAAGTGCCTTACTCGTCATCCAACAAGGCTGTCTTATATACTTTTCTGAACTCTATCGCAGTACCGTTATTCTGCTGGACAATCGTGGGATTCGGTTGGTATCGATCTCCCCTGATATTCAGCGGCCGAATTCGCTTTGCCACGAAAGCAGCAAGATGAGGACAATTCTGCGTAGAACACGGCCATAGGTGAGCCTTACGGAAGAGGTTTCTCCCGTGGGTTTAGCTTGGGGGAGACGGTCAATTCAATCGTCGGCTAATGAGGTCACGCCGCTCACGCGGCGGGCAGCGTCGCGCGCGGCAGCTGGTGCGGCGATTTTTGTATGGGACTTGGCTTAACGGTCCTTGTCCATAAAGCTGGTGGGGTTAGAGAACTGGCAAGATCAAACGCAGCTATTTAAGTCTCACTGAACAGAGCTTGTGCCATGTAAAGGTTGTCCTTCTAACATAATTTGACTCCTTTATTGATCAACTGCCTGAACTATTATCAAAAAGCGATAATCTGGCTCATTCGGAAAATATTACGCTCCAAAACGCAGTGGAACGGTGAGGAGGGCACTAACATTAGTATGACAGAATAAGTTTGTAAATAATGACAAGGGACAAGGAACCTGTACTTCAAGGGGGCAGGTGATCATATACCGTGTTTCACGACTGGAAACTTCATCTAATCGTACACATTCCCCATGCTAGAACCATGAATTCTGGCTACGGCCGACGTCGCATCGCGGGCTGCGGCGGCTGGCGCGGCGACCTAGCCACTGCCACGATTGAATCGTCACGCACCCCTTGCTGATGAAAAAACCGCTGTAGAGCGTATTTGTGACAATTCAGGCACTCTTAGGCCGTTTTGCATTCTCTCACTTTTGGTACTACTCAGTTACTACGACAGGAGTGAAAAATTTCTCTAAAACTTTACTTATAGGGATAGTTCAATGTGCTCCTCATAATGCAGATAGCACTTCTTGACAGCGAATCTGGCGAGAACAAGTGTAGCGCTAAATTAGTTAAAATGGCTCCAATGCTGAAATAAGTGTCTCTTTAGTTATCAGAACTGGTACTTTGTGGGAGTTTTTTTACTCTGGTACAATTAACATGTAAGCTGGGTAACATGTAAGTTAGGTACTGTTTTCTTTTTCTCCGAAGACGTTTGGACTAAAAATGAATATAAGAAACCAAAAGTCTTACTGTAATTATTGCAGGAAGGTGTTACTTGCCCAAGGTGGAAGGACCGCTCAGATGTGACCAGCCTCAGGCGAAGTACTGGTACGATTACAACACGAAACAGTGCGCTGCATTCTGGTGGCGAGGCTGTCATGGAAATGCAAACAACTTCGCTTCGTGGGAGGAATGCAGTGTAAGCTTTTTCTTGAATTTTCCCAATCTTCTGTGAGTTTGATTCTGAAGTGTCCATGAGATTCGCGTTCACCACTAGGTCGCTTCTATTACATCTGTTCAGATATCGAGAAAGAAAATGGTTTTGGGGGTAGCACTACACGGCATTCGGTTATCGTACCCACCAATTAGTGGGGAAAAATTTTTCCTCTGATAACGGTGGAGATCGCTCTTGCACTAATATAGAAAAGCTGATGTTGTGTGGTGATTCTCTAGTCTTCTCCTACTTTCTCTAGTTGCAGAGATCCAGTTTGCTTGAATGTGGTGTAACTTTGTGTTTATGTGATATTTGGCCGTGAAACGTCCGTTACTATCAAAGTCTGTGCAGAAAAATATCCAGATTAGACTTGTGCGCTCATGGACCTTACTGGTGTGCTGCTGTACGACTTGGTCCCATCACTTGCCTATTTTTCTGACATTCCGACTTTGGAGACGGGCTGATGTATTATTTATGAGTTTATTTCCAGACTTTCTGTAAAGACGTTGGACCATTCGCGACGACAGCAGCACCAGCTCCTCAACCACCTCAACCGCCACAAATGCCACAGGTTGAATCCGCGGAGGTTTGATAT